CCCGTTCTAAGTGCGAGAATTTATTTTACTAAGTGCGAATATTGCCTAAGTTCGTATTTTATGGACTAAGTGCGGTATTTTATCATTAAGTTCGCGTTAGAGGACCCCCCAAAATGAACATTTTCTTGCGTCTTGGGAAGAGTATTGTAGAGTGCCCCGTAAAACTTTGTGGTGTTAAGTATGATACTAAAACACACTAACTGCCCTAAGGATTCACGTCGATTTCATTCTAGGAGTCGAGATATGTTATTTTAAGTTTTTGGGATGTCATGGATGCAAATCGTTTGCTACAGGCTCAAGAACGCACTTTTTGTATACCATGTTATTTTAAGAAAATGTCCGTTTCGATGCGCTCTTCAAAAATGTTCGACTTGCGAACCATGATTTTCTGCGTCTGTGCCACGTAATTCAGCAAAAAGAGCATGTAATGGAGTGAAATGAGAGGGTGTGTCATCTCTAAAGTAAAATCTTTAAAAGAGCATAACTTAAGAACGGCTGGGAATAGGTGGCCGTTCTTTTTACCATCATGTGCGCCTAAAAAAAGTACACTATCGTGACAATCGATATCGGTCGATATGGTATAAATTGATAAAGTTATGCTCGATTATGTACGCGAAAACAGAAAAAGGGCGCTGGTGACAAAAAAAGTACTAACGATTCTGTTATTGTTTTGATATTCTGTCATCCCAGACTCTTGCGCATCTGGTGACCTATTTTTTATTCGCCAGTTCCGATGAAAAGTGTCGTTTCGATGCGTGGTGGGCCCGGGATGACAATTCGAGTTGAGTTGGAAGTTCATGTGAAGTCCTGGAAACAAGAAAAAAAGAAGATCCACGCTTCCCTAACTCAAAAAGTCATTAGAAACCGAGGGTAGCTTGTATGGAGACTTTTGTTCCTCGTGCGCTAAAACGCCGAATTAAATTTTTTATCTATACTTAACAGGAAAAAAGTTGCCTCCTTCGCGATATATAGGCAAATAAAGAATGGGTGCTATCATTTCGGGACAAAACAGGTGAAAATTTAGGTCGAAAAAAGTGTTTATAGACAAGGCATTTGAATTTAGCCAAAATCTGACTTGACCACGGGAATGCGCGCATAAAAGCACCCCTAGGGCAGTTTTTATACGGAGCAGTCTCATTTGCTTCCTGGATGTGCAGGGCCAAACATGGCCAAAAGTGGTGATTTTGGCCGTCCAAGGTGTCCATTTTCCGCGAAAATGGCGTTTTTTGGCGTCACTAAAAAAATCATTGCGAAGCAACTACTGGAGATATGCTTGTAAAACTTTGGGAGCGGTCGTGCGAACACATGCGCCAAGTTTTCTGCTAAAGTCTGCAGGCCAGATCTGCCGGGCGGCACATAAAACCGGAAAAAACCACCTAAAAAAAGAGCATGCCAAACAAAGTCTCACATTTCGCTGAATAACTTTTGATCTAGAAGAGTTAGACAAATTCTGATTGCGGGAACGGCTCCGCCGTGTGTTTTTACATATGTCTATGTCCCGTAGATAAAAAGTACATGTTGCAAAAAAAGTACATGTTGTACATAAATCTACCTTTGATATTCGGATTCCCCGTGAAAAACTACGCCTAGGCCGCAGGGTTACAAAGACGAGTCATTGCACTTATGCCCTTTTATAGACGCTTTTAGAAATCGGCCAAAACAGTATTTATTAATTTAGACAGTGTTCCGCTGACATGTCGCATGCTGCGATATGTCCACGTGAAAGAGCACCGAAAAGCACCCCTAGAACACCCTTCATACCCGTTCTAACGGTTCTCTTTCATCTTCATAATAATCAAATTAAAGAACACCATACAAAAAACAAGATCTCGTGTGTAGTGGCTCGCCAGGCATACTAAAACCAAGATGTCGTGTGGGCACATGCCAGACATCATATCTTGCGTTTGCAAACACACGCAAAGTCGGTAAACAGCTCAAAACGGGCTAAAAAGTAGACAGCACCCGGACTTCCCCGGTGGTCACCCACCCGAGTACTACCCGAGCTTGAGGCTGCTTAACTTCACAGAGCAGACGGGATATGGTGCTTTCAGCCTAAGATGGCCGTCTACATTTGACTTTGACCGACACACCTATTAGTGTTTATCACTCGTATACATTGGTACAACACATTTACACACTCACATGTCCACATACGTGGCCATAGACTGCACACGATGGCCCCCAATACCCCTTCTGGCCCTCAGAATTGGCTGGGTGGATGGCTACACTTTATATAGTAACAAAACAAAAAGGGGGGTGGTGTGGCGCACTCCAATACAAACGTGTGGCCAGCAGCTCACTCCTACAACGCAGCATACGTATTCTCTCCGATAGGAACCCCACACAGACCGACACCTTCATACACAGCAGTGCAGATAGCCGCCGCACCCCATATTTGCGCATACGCGGCCTGGAAACAATGTTAAACCACCAAAGTGGCCATTTACGACTTGCACAACCATACCTACGCTTCCTATGCGACATGACATGTGCACGTACGCGTCTTAGGCAATATGAACACCTTCGACACCTTCATACATGCACAGCGCGCGCTCCGCTTAAGTACGACACTAACTTGTCATATACATCATGCGTTTCCTCCCGTCACCTTTCATCACCTCCATATTCACACCCATGCGCCGTCACCTTCCTCGCGCCATCACCTTCACCATTTTCACCTCCATATCCGCGCTTCCTCCGCCGTCACCTTCCGCGTACGCGTCCATATTCGCTGCGTTTCCTCGCGCTTCCTGCCTGTTATTAATCCAAGCCAAAAACATCTCCAAACCCATACAATTAGAACAGCAAACAACTTCGCATTTTTTCACAAAGTCCTCAGCTTCATTTTGCATACTTTATCCTAGTCTAATTCACGCTATTCCGCTCTCTTTAACATACTTAAACTAAGTCTAATTCACGCT